CCCGACGGCTTTGAGCGCGCCCACGAGGGCGACTGCGGCCTCAGCGACAGTGGCCCTCCCGGGGCCAGCGGTCGCGACAACAGTCGCGGTCGTGACCTCAACCGCAGCTTTCCCGACCAGTTCAGCACCGGCGAGCCCCCTGCCCTGGATGAAGTGCCGGAGGTGCGCGCCCTCATGGACTGGATCCGCAGGAACAAGTGAGTGTCGTGAACCTTCTCCTCCCAACCCCATCCACGTGGGCCTCCACGGGCAGGGGCTGGGGCGGGCACTCAGTAGACACTCAAACAGTGCTTGCAGGCCTAAGGGACCGGGGTAGTGAAGGTGGAGAGCGACACGCCGTAACCTGGACAGGGCCCAGGCCGCTTAGCCTCTTATCCCGCTAATAGTCCAAGAAGCGCTGTCTAGAGGCTGTCATTTGCTCAACGCAAAGAGCTCTTTGGCTGGAAGAGAGACTCCTTTCTGACATTCTGGTCCGTGTTGTCACAAGACCATAGAATATGAGCAATAGAAGAGAACTTAAGGGTAACTTAGGTCAGCTCACTCATTTTAGAGATAAGCTGTCGCTATTGCTGTTACTGCTGTGGGCACCCTGCTAAGTAAGCTCTTTCCCTGGGCTGCATGATCTTACTTTATGTTGGCCACAACCTCATGCAATAGACATCATTAAAATCCCTGTTTTGCATATAGAGGAAATTGAGGGTCAGATTGGTTAAGTAATTTCTATGGTGGGAAGTGTAGCTGGGACTTAGATTCTTTGACTCTTTGTCAGTGCTTTTAACAGCTATAGAGGGAGACTGTAGCCCAATAATGATAAGTGACACTCCCTGGGTCTTCTTGGTTATTTGACAGAAACTGGTCCTCTTCCAGTCTTTACCTCTGACTCAGCTAGGGAGCATATGGCTATGGCTGGAGAACTTGCACAGAGCTGGTATCTTCATCTGTGAGCTGCTTCATTTTAGACTCTCTGGAAGGTTTCTGATGCCCTTCGCACACTATTAGTGGGCCAGGGCTGAATGGCTAATTGTCACATTTAATACATACCATACGTGTTATTAAGCACTATGTGGGATGTAAAAAATTAAAAGCATGAGGACCTCAAGAAAATAGTGTGTAACAAGAGAATATTATAAATACATATGAGGTGTGTTTATATACCCAGTTAAACTTTACAGGAATTGTTCCTACTGGCAAAATGTGTGTGGGCTGCAATAATAAGGATCCTCTGTGGAAGAGGTAGAACTTGAACTGCGTCTTGAGAGATGAGTAGGATTTTCAGCAAAAAGGAGGAGGGGAGGAATAAAAGGAGAGAGAACTTACTCCAGATGGAATAATGTCTGGAGTGAGCATGTACTTCTTCCCTTTTCAAGCATCAGCTTTGCCAGCATATCCCCATTTTTGTGTCTTTCATAAGGCTTGTGAATAAACAGTTACTTGCCGTCTTGATTTGAAGATTTCTAAGTGACAGATACAATAAAGGTAATAATGAACAGAGAAGTTTCTCTGTGGGAATCCTCGCTTCTATAAGATTTCAGTACGTATAGCAGACCTAGAAAATTCATAGGCATTATGACAATCCTACTTTTTTTTTTTTTTTTTTTTTTTTTTTTTTTTTTTTATCTTCCACCTTTGACTTTACTCCTCCTTTTGAGCTCCCTTGTAGATATTTAACTTCACATATATTCTGGGAAGATTTTTTTTTCTTTTAAAGATAACCATGTCATGATCTCTGAACATTTACCTAAGAAACATGACTTTAATATATATATCTTGTTGTCAGAAGCTGGGGTGGCTGAGGCTTTTCTGAGATGATATATCAAATGCATTGTTTGCATTGCTTAAATGAAAACGCCCCGTCATGACCCTTGCAGATATGATATGAATTCCATGATGAGATTTTTCTCTTCAGTGTTAGTTCTGCGGTGGGTGACCAGAAATGAAAATGAGCTTTGCCTTGGTGCAAGTCACCTTGAGGCTATACAAAAAGCTTTAAACTTTAAAACGTGGAGCCAGAAATTTGCTCCCTGGTTAACTTTTTCATATTACAGTATTTAACAATTATAAGTTGTGGTTTGGGCTGGTTAGTTCAATGATTGGAGCTTGTGACGATTTTGAGTTCATCTGTGTTTGTTGGTATTATGCAGAAAGTCATTTTGTTCTGTGGCTATGGACTATCCTGATCGTACCCAACCAGGTTTCAAACACATAACTCTCATCAGAAGGGAAAGTAGGTGACTACCTACATAGGGTGTACATGAAAAGTACATCTATCCATCTTCAGCTTTCAAATATCAACTCAAAATGCATACTCTTTAATGATAATAATAAAGGACACAGATATGTGAATAAAATGAAAAACACAAGCACACACACAATTTGAGATGATGCTTAGAGTTAGCTTTATGAATTGGAAAATTAAGAACTGAACACATTAGTCTCTATGGGAAAATTACCTTTTTCAGTGTATTTTCTGAAATCATTTGAGTAATTTTTTTAAAGTTTATTTATTTTGAGAGAGAGAGAGAGAGAGAGAGAGAGAGAGAGAGAGAGAGAGCTAGCACAGGGGGAGGGGCAGAGAGAAAGGGAAAGAGAATCCCAAGCTGGTTCTGTGCTGTCAGCACAGAGCAGAGCCTTATGCAGGGCTCCATCCCAGGAACTGTGCGATCATGACCTGAGCTGAAATCAAGAGTCAGATGCTCACCCGACTGAGCCACACAGGCACCCCGAGTAACTTCTTGATATGCTACTCACCTAGCTATAATAGAAATAGATTTTTGTTGCTATTTTGGATATATAAGAATTTAACACTTATTTCCGTCTGCTTAAGAAAGTGAATTTTCTTTGTTTCACTTTATACTTCATCCAATAGGTATTTTTGTATTATTGGTAATTGACACATATACTTAGGAAAATATACAAGGTTTTAACCCCATTATTAAAATAAAGATTTTATAGTTTTCTTCACCCCCATTTTTGAAAGCACACTAGGCTTCTTTAATTAAATATACCTGCTTAGACTTATATAGGAGATTAGCATATAAATGATTATTTGGTATGTTTGTGAAAAGCATTATCTTATTGCTGGGGGTGGGTACAGTTTACTTTTGAGGAGCTTGTATTATGTGTACAGTTTCCTGAATCTTGAGAATTTAGTTTATCAGACTCAAGTCCTCTTAATTTTTAAAAGTTATAGGGTTATCCGGAAAGCATAACAGAGTTAACTTAGAGATTAACTTTTAAATATCTATAGATTCTTGTTTATAATATTTATATTTAGCAGCTACTTTAAATCTTATGCAAGAAATAATATATGATACTAAAGTCAAGTATGAAAAACACTTAAAAGAAATGATTTGAATGGAGCCATAAAATACCTTTCAAATAAATTGGATTGACATGCAAAGTTGGTTTGATAAAGACTAAAAGCGGTAAATTTCTAGCTACTGTAATAGGTATCACTTTGTCTTGAAATCCTTATAAGAGTAGCATTCATACTTTTAAGACTACGTAAGTAAAATAAGGAAGATCTAATAAGTGAATTTTATCGCTCAAGTAGATTGCAAATATTTTGTTCTACAAGTATTTGGTTAGGCCTCTTCTTTTTTTAACGTTTATTTATTTTTGAGACAGAGAGAGACAGAGCATGAACGGGGGAGGGTCAGAGAGAGAGGGAGACACAGAATCTGAAACGGGCTCCAGGCTCTGAGCTGTCAGCACAGAGCCCGACGCGGGGCTCGAACTCACGGACCATGAGATCATGACCTGAGCCAAAGTCGGCCGCTTAACCGACTGAGCCACCCAGGCCGTGGTTAGGCCATTTTAATATTTCTGAAAAGCATTGCAAAAAAAATGCCAAACAGTGAAAACTGCATTTAATAGAGAATCTTGGACTTTAAATTTTTTTTAATGTTTGTTTATTTTTGAGAGAGAGAGAAAGAGAGAGAGAGAGTCAGAGCACAAGCAGGGGAGGGACAGAGAGAGAGGGAGACACAGAATCTGAAGCAGGCTTCAGGCTCTGAGCTGTCAGCACAGAGCCCGATGCTGGGCTTGAACTCACAAACTGAGATCATGACCTGAGCCGAAGTTGGACACCCAACTGACTGAACCACCCAGGTGCCCCAAGAATCTTGGACTTTAAAGTTTTAATTGAAAAATATACAATTAAAACAACATACTTCACTTATTTCGAATATGCAGTTATCCATTTTATTTTACTAGAATGAATGCCATGAGGGCATTTTTATGATTGTTCACTGATTTATTCTCTAGGGCCTAGAATAGGGCACATAGTTGACACTTAAAATTTGTTGCTGAATGGATTGCCTGAACTAGGCTAGGCTTCTTGTAACTCTCCCAAAATCAGAGGGGCAGAGAAAAGCACTTAAAGTATTTAAGGCATACGTATCAGAAAGTAAATTGATAATACCTTAGCAGTGGGTGCCAGATGGGTAGAATGGAATTAGAATGTTAGAATATATACTTAGGTTTTGTTTCTATATTATTCTGTCACCCAAGGGCTAGCATTGGTAGTGGGGAATAAAATGAAAGCCTGAAGGCAGTGATTCCCTAGTCACTAGGATGTTAGATAGCTCCAAAGGAATGAACATTTGTTGAGCAGAGGATATAAAGCTGTTGTGCTGGAAGGTGTTGTATGTGTGTTAATTCTTATAACAATCCTGGGAAGCAGGTAGCATTAATCCCCATTTTACAGATGAGAGAGAAACTGGGGTTCAATGAGTTTAGAGGCAGTAACTTCTGATCATATTTTGTTGCTGGTTAGTGACACGTCTGGGAGACTGAATGTTCTCCCCCATATTTGCCTGGCTCCAGAGCTTGTGCTATTGCTGCTACTCCAAATGGCATCCTCTGGTGTCTGGAAGGTTGCTAATAATAATTATATTAGTTTTTAACTAGTCTCTTTTCATAGTCTATTCTAGTATTTAATCACTGTTTTCATTGGCTAAGTTCTGTCTTCTGATGACCAGATTCTGTGTTACCAGTAATTTTCACTTTTTTATATTCTCTGGGATGGTATTGATGATACTTAAAATAACCTTTCAAATTAGACATATGATAGATCTGATTTTCTTTGAAGCAATGAAATGTTATATATAGAACTTCTGTAGGTCAGTTCATTTCAGCCACGAAAAGGCAGAAGCAAGAAAATCCAGTTTAGAGGGCCAAAAGGAGAGTGTTTAATCTGTACTCACAGTAATAGTTTAAACTGTTACATGAGAGACAGATGTATAAATAGGACTTGAGCATGTTTTTGCCTCTAGCTTTCACCATAAAAGGAGTTCTTCAGTATTTCAGTATCTATAAATTTCACCAAATTATAAATTGGTTCGCTTAGAAGTAGAAACATAAAAAAAAAATGTTTCTTTTATGGGAGCAGCCCTGTCTGCATGTCAGTTTATTTTTTAGTGGGCCAATCAGAAACATTGGGCTTAGAGCTGCTTCTATGGTGACGCAATGGAGGACTAATCTTTTATGTGCTATATTGTTTTTCTCTGAAAGCAGCTCACTGTATCAGGTTCTCCCCACCCCCAGTCTTCTCAACTGTGGCTTCTCTTTTGAAAATGTGAATTTAGTATTCAGTATATTGTGAAACTGGAGTGAGGCAAAACACATCCTGTTTTAAATTAGACTTCCTACCTGAAACATTTTTGGGTAGTAAATATAAAAAATCATGAAAGTTACTAACGTAACTCATGTATTCAACAAGTATTTATTTATAGAAGCCATGTTTTCTACAATGTTAACATGTTACAAAATACAAGTCTTAGGTTGAACTACATGAAATTGCCACTTTTGTAGCTCAAAAAGTGACTGAATACTTGGAAGTTCATATTGTTCAACCTAACGCCAAATTTGAATTCCCTGAATAAGATGTCTTCTGAAACGTTAATTTACACTGTGATTCAGCTAATTTTTTAATGGTGGGAAAATTCTTTAAAGTTGATTGAGGTTAAGTTGAATTACAAAAACCATTGGACTAAAATTTGTTAAATTGATGATGCTTTCTTTCATTTTCTTTTTTGGTTGTTCTGCTTGTAATAGCTGATAGAGTTGTCTTCTGGGTCTCTAAGAGAGATACCTGAGTTCATTTATGAAAAATGTAGAATTTTTAAATACGTGGCATTTTCTGTGCCTTTTTTTTTTTTTTTTTTTTTTTTTTTTTTTTTTGGTGATACATGATTTGGTTGTTTTCAAAGGTTTGTGCTTTCTGGAAATCTGCATGGTGGCTCTGTGGTAGCAAGCTATCCTTTTGATGATTCTCCAGAACATAAGGCCACTGGAATCTATAGCAAAACCTCAGATGATGAAGTCTTTAAATACTTGGCAAAAGCCTACGCATCAAACCATCCCATAATGAAAACTGGTGCACCTCATTGTCCAGGAGATGAAGACGAAACTTTCAAAGATGGGATCACAAACGGCGCACACTGGTATGACGTGGAAGGTATGGAAAGGCCTGAATTTGCTATCTTTTCCCCCTTGTTCATTTAGCTTTCTTCCTTCCTCTTTCTTTTCTTTTGTTTTTAAATTAAGTAAGCTCTACGCCCAACATGGGGCTTGAACTCATGACCCCTTGAGACCAAGAGTGGCATGCTGTACCAACTGAGCCAGCCAGGTACCCCTCATTTAGCTTTCTTATGTATACTCTGAGTGGAAAAGAGGAAAATTTGAAGAATTCTAATTTTTAAAAATCTCCTTTTTCTATTTTGAAATTTTTAATCCCCAGTAACATTGAAACACTGCAGTGAAAGCCTGTATATCCTTCATTTAAATTCCCCATCTGTTATCTTACCCTAAATGCTCCACCTCTCCCGTCCTTTCCTCCCACACATTCTCTTTTGCCAAACCATCCAAAAATAGGTGGCAGATTCCTTAATACTTCACCTGTAAGTACCTCAGCATGTATTTTCCAAGCACAGAAACAGTATTGTGTACAACCATATTATCATTACTGTTAACTGAGAGATCAATAGTAATTCAGGGGGCGCCTTGGTAGCTCGGTTGGTTGAGTGTCCAACTTTGGCTCAGGTCATGATCTCATGGTTTGTGGGTTTGAGCCCCACATCAGGCTCTGGAGCCTGCGTCAGATTCTGTTTCTCTCGCTCTTTGCCCTTCCCCCACTCATACTCTCTCAAAAATAAACATTAAAAACTTTTTTTTTAAAGACAGTAATTCAGTACTACCATCCTATATTCTGTCCATAAGTCAAATTTCCTTTATTATTCCCCACATATCCTATATAGCTCCTTTGCTTCCAGATCAGATCAGATCCAATCAAGGTTCAAGCATTGCATTTGGCTCTTGTGTTTTTATAGTTTCCCCAATTTAGAGCTGTTATATCAATACTCTCTTTTCGTAATGATGGTGAATCCTTTGAAGAGTTCAGGCTTTTCAGGTTCTTGTACTGTAGAACATCCCATATTGTAGATCTGGTCAAATTTTCCAGCAAGACTATTATATAGATCACATCACATCAGGATGCACATAAAGTGTGTGTGTGCCATGTGGCCATGGTGGACATCTTAGTTAATGGAATGACTACCAGTTCTCTCCATTTTTAGATAAGGGCACATTTTCCTTTTATATTTTAATCTGTGAGGTGACCGTGGACTTTTTTTTTTAATTTTTTTTTTCAACGTTTTTATTTATTTATGGGACAGACAGAGACAGAGCATGAACGGGGGAGGGGCAGAGAGAGAGGGAGACACAGAATCGGAAACAGGCTCCAGGCTCCGAGCCATCAGCCCAGAGCCTGACGCTTGGCTCGAACTCGCGGACCGCGAGATGGTGACCTGGCTGAAGTCGGACGCTTAACCGACTGCGCCACCCAGGCGCCCCAACCGTGGACTTTTTACAAAAAAATTTTTTAATGTTTATTTTTGAGAGAGAGAGAGACAGAATCTGAAGCAGGCTCCAGCCTCTGAGCTGTCAGCACAGAGCCTGATGCAGGACTCAAAGTCACAAACCACAAGATCGTGACCTCAGATGAAATCAGACATCTAACTGACTGAGCCACCTAGGCGCCCCAATCGTAGAATGTTTTTTTAATTGTGGTTGAACACACACACATATATAACACATAAAATTTGTTAGTTGAACCATATTTACATATAGAATTAAGTGGCATTAATTACATTCACAGTGTTGCACAACCATGTCCCCACTGCCTACTTACAAAACTTTTTCATCACCCCAAACAAACTTGGTAACTATTAAGTCATAATTCTCCATTGCCTTCTAATCTCCTATCTCTGTGAATTTGCCTATTCTAGATATTTCATATAACTGGAATCATATAATGTCCTGCATCTGGGTTATTTCATTTAATATGATGATTTCAAGGTTCATCCATTTTGTAGCATGTATCAAAACTTCATTCTTTTTTTATGACGGAGAAATATTCCATTGTATGTATATACCCCATTTCATTTATCTATTCATCTATTTTTTCAAGTTTGTTTGTTTATTTTGAGAGAGAGGAAGAGAGCGTGAGCAGGGCAGGGGCAGAGAGAGAATCCCAAGCAGACTTTGTGCTGTCAGCATGGAGCCTGACGTGGGGCTCAATCTCATGAACAGTGAGATCATGACCTGAGCCAAAACCAAGAGTTGGACCCCTGACCAGCTGAGCCACCCAGGTGCCCCTCCATTCATCTATTGATGGACACTGGATTGTTTTTACCTTTTAGCTATTGTGAATAATGCTGCTGTGGATGCTGGTGTACAAGTATCTGTTTAAGTCCTTGTTTTCAAATCTTTTGGATGTGTACTCAAGAATGGAATTGTTGGGTGGGGCGCCTGGGTGGCGCAGTCGGTTAAGCGTCCGACTTCAGCCAGGTCACGATCTCGCGGTCCCTGAGTTCGAGCCTCGCGTCGGGCTCTGGGCTGATGGCTCGGAGCCTGGAGCCTGTTTCCAATTCTGTGTCTCCCTCTCTCTCTGCCCCTCCCCCGTTCATGCTCTGTCTCTCTCTGTCCCAAAAATAAATAAAAAACGTTGAAAAAAAAATTTAAAAAAAAAAAATAAAAAAGAATGGAATTGTTGGGTCATATAGTAATTTTCTGTTGAGCTTTAAGGAACCACCAAATTGTTTACCACAGTGGCTGTACCATTTTACATTCCCACCAGTAATATGCAAGGGTTCTTATTTTCCATGGAATATTATTTTTAAAAGAGTTGTTAAAGTAAGCTTGTTTACCTTCTTTTTAAATGTTATGTAAACAGCTATTGTGCTTTTTAAACTTTTTGTGTCCTTTGAATAATAACTTTTTTGTTTTTATAAACTCTTAGATTAATTAAGACTAAACAGAAAGGGGGCGCCTGGGTGGCACAGTCGGTTAAGCGTCCGACTTCAGCCAGGTCACGATCTCGCAGTCCGTGAGTTCGAGCCCCGCGTCAGGCTCTGGGGCTGATGGCTCAGAGCCTGGAGCCTGTTTCTGATTCTGTGTCTCCCTCTCTCTCTGCCCCTCCCCCGTTCATGCTCTGTCTCTCTCTGTCCCAAAAATAAATAAAAAACGTTGAAAAAAAAATTTAAAAAAAAAAAATAAAAAAGAATGGAATTGTTGGGTCATATAGTAATTTTCTGTTGAGCTTTAAGGAACCACCAAATTGTTTACCACAGT